ATTCTTCTTACAGATAGTGCATGCATTTAATATGTTACCTTTAGCTCTTCTTTATGCTTAAAAATTAAGACAGATGAGAGTTTTGTGCTTTCTGCCTCTCCAAATAGAAAATGACTCATGCAGTCTAAAGCCAAAAGACTTGATATAAATGGTGGTTGGTAACAAGATGTGCCACACCAAAGACCCACTGGCATGCCTTTCTTATTCTTTATTTTTCAGGAAGGTGTTGAAAACTTGCAAACATCATGCTGGAAACCAGTAGCTATTTCTACCACTGTTTTCTCAGTATCTTGCCATGTGTATTGGTGATATATTTGTGTGTGGGATTCTTTTTTTGTATTGTGCTAGTGCCTTTGGAACTTTTTGACGTTGTGTAAGCTTAAACTAAAGCCTTCAACACATTTATTTTTATAGGGCAGAAACATCCCTATTTTTCCATGCCATAAAAACTGTACACCAACACTGAGGGCCAGCACTAACCTGTTATGAAAAGAGGTAGAAAAATCTTGGTTTATACTCAAGTTTGTCTGCATCGTCTGTTGAGTTGTGTGATTAATTCCATGCTGCTGTGTGTATGTGTGTGTGTTGTGGCTTTTGCTGTGATGACCAGTTAAGTGGAGTTATGTATGTTATGAAATGTAAGCAAACTGCATTCAACAAAGATACAGTTCTTGTTTTCAGTTTCCTTCAAGGATCCTTGGGGTGGTAAATGTTAATCGTCTCAGCTGTGAGCAAGTACACACAGTATTTGAAAGACTTTAAAAAGCAGTATATACTGTGAATATTCAATACGATTGTATGAATTAAAGAGATAGAGAATGAGGGACTCCAGGGATCACCTGCACTATTAACTTCACAAAATTTTTCCTGGTTCTATTGGAATCTCTGGTTTTAATATAACATTTCCTTAAACATACCTCATAAGTCACCACAGAGAACTAAAAACAATGTCAAATAAGTGCCCAAGATTTTGCTAGAGAAAGTAGCCCTAGCCACTTTTTTACACAGTGCTCTGTGTATTGTTTATGCATTGTTTCAAATTCATCCTTCTCTAACCTAATCCTGACAGTATATGTTCTTGAGTTTGGGAAAAAAAATTCTGTAGTGTAATTAAAAATAATCATGCAACTTGAGGAAGATAGTAAAGGGGAAGCAAAATGGTTATCTTTCCTCCAACACTATCCTCAAACTTGGCCCATTTCCCTACTCATAAAATAGCATCACATCTCTCATATACTGCAAACTTCAAAAAAGAACCAAGAGGAAACAAGTGGAAAAGGGGACAGGAGGTTTGATCATGCACACCTTCAATCAAAATTCATTTATCAAGCACCAACTATGTTCCAAACATTGTGTTGTATCTTAGGAACATGTAGAAGGTGAACTATTTCATCTTGGTGTTGGGGCAGCAGGAATGGGGAGTAGAAGCGTTCTGAGAGAATATAGCATTTAATTAGATAAATAGGGTTTCACTCAGCCAAGAAAACCAATCATCCTCTTAAGGAGTATGAAAATATATTGACATTTTGAAGAATAAGTTGACTAATATTCATACACACACATACACATGCACACCATGTAATGATAGCTTTCATCTCTCTTAAAATTTCTTTTCTCACTTCTTTTTCATTTCCCCCTGTATTCAGAATTTCTTCATTGTGATTACTTTTAGGGTTAGCAGTCATGTCAGGCATCCTGAAATCTTAAATAATAAATTTTAGAGGACACTTTTATAGGATCAATAAAATAATTTTAACACATACTGAATGGGTTATTTTATTATAAGCAGATAGACATAATGGAGAAAAGAAAGAGTTTTATTAAATATTTTAAAGGTGTCATATGTGTAGATTATCTGCTAGATAGAAGGAGGTTATAAGATAAGACAATATTCAAGAAAGAAATGAAATAAGGAAGATATGTGTAAGCAAGTATGTAGACAACGCTTAAAAGAGCAAATCACATTTATTTAGTATTGACCACATACCAGCCTCTGAACTAGGCACTTTACATTAATATCTAATTAATTTAATCTATATACTGAAACTGTAAAACTATTATTACCCATTACTTAATTCATTTATAGGTTAGTGAACTGAAAAGTCAAAGGAGGTATGTAATTAGTCCAGAGTCACACAGTAAAGGACTATTTATTCCCAAATTCCTTCTCTTCTCATTGCTCTACTCTGCTTCCCTAATATTTTTCCAACTGGTAGAAGATAAATAAAACCTGCCGCACAATGATCTTCTCTTAGAGAGTCTGAATATGTTTCCAATTCATGGCAATTTAAGGAAGTTTATTTACATATTCCAGTGCAGCATTTTTATAATCTGATTTATAGAAAACGGCATTGCTGTTCTAGTTTCACCCAAGTCAAAAATGTTTTGCTAGTCAGCTGTTTCCAACCCCATTGGAGCTTCTGTTGGTAACCAAAATTTAAACACTTGTTGACATATTCATGAATAATTATAATACACAGCTAACAGTTGTGTAACATTTTACAATGCTCCAAGGACATCTATTCCATTTTGTTTCTGTTGTTGTTCTTTGCATGCCCAGCAATTCTGGGAGGTAGTTGGACAGATGTTAGCTCCCTTTCACAGATTAGAAAAGGGAAGAGGAGTAAGGTAAGCTCCCGTCACCAGTAATTGAATGGTAGAGCCAGGACTGGAAGCAAAATTTTCTTCCTTTTAATCCATTATTCTTTCTAGATTACTCTCATTATTTCTATTATGTGCCCCCCCAAAAAAAAAAAAAAAAAAAAAAACACTGCCATGGAGTCAGTTCCAACTCATAGCAACCCCCATTGAGTTTCCAAGGTGGTAAATCTTCATAGAAGTAGATTGCCCCATCCTCCTTCCACAGAGCAGCTCATGGCTTTGAACTGCCAACCTTCTGGTTAGCAGTCAAATGCCATAGGCATTGCACCACCAGAACTCCTTGTTATGCCCAAAACTGGTGGAATAAGGATAACTCACATTCGTATAATGCCCTGACCTTAGTTTGTTTTCTCAATAAATCTCATTACCAGTGATTTACTCTTCTATTACTTTATTTTCCTTGGTGTCAGAAAAGTCAATTAAGATCTTTCAGAAATTACCATGTCTCACCATACATTTAAATGTTACACTTACTGAATTGATTTTGTTCTCTTTTGGGAAAGTTAACCTGCTTTACTAAGTACAACAGCTATGGTTTTCTTTCCTCATCACCATCACCACGTCTGACATGATTTCCCCAGCCATTAAAATATCACGGCATCTACCAGCCACACAAAACGTAAAGACATACAACAGGAAATGAGAGACAGAGAGATTGGAAGGATTGGTCATCTACATTTTCAACCAAAATCTATATATCAAGTGCTAACTGTATTCCTCTCAGAAGGTAGGTTGGGCAATCTACTTCCATAGTGATACCACCTCAGAAACTCAAGGAGGGGTCACTATGAGTCAGATACTACTCTATGGCAGTGGGTTTGGTTTTTGGTTTGGAGCTATATTCCTCATCTCCTCTCCTTAATTTGTGTGAAGTGGCAATTAAAACAGCCTAGCTCTCGGCTACAAAGATATTGTTGTTATTTTTAAGTACCATCAAGTTGGCTCTGACTCGTAGTGTCCCTATGTACAATAGAACAAAACATTGCCTGGTCCTGTGCCAGTCCCACAATCCTTGCTATACCTGAGCCCGTCATTGCAGCCACTGTGTCAATCTATCTCATTAGAGCACCTTCCCCTTGGTCACTGACCCTCCACTTTACCAAGCACGATATCCTTCTCCATGGAATGGTCCCTTCTGATAGTATGACCAAAGCAGGTGAGGGGAAGGCTGGCCATTCTCACTTCCAAGGAGCATTCTGGCTGCACTTCTTCCAGGACAAATTTATTCTCTGGCAGTCAATGGTACTTTTAGTATTCTTCGCCAACACCACAACTCAAAAGCATCAACTCTTCTTCAGATTTCCTTATTCATTGTCCAGCTTTCATATGCATATGAGGCTATTGAAAATTCAGTGGCTTGGGTTAGGCACAACTTAGTCTTCAAAGAGACATCTTTGCTCATCAGCACTTTAAGGAGGTCTTTTGCAGCAGATTTGCCCAGTGCAATATGTTGTCTGATTTCTTGACTGCTGCTTCCATGGGTGTTGATTGTGGAACCAAGTAATGTGAAATCTTTGACAACTTCAATCTTTTCTCAATTTATCGTGATGCTGCTTATTGTTCCAGTTGTGAGGATTTTTGTTTTCTTCATGATGAGGTATAATCCATACTGCAGATGGTAGTCTTTAGTCTTCATCAGTAAGTGTTTCAAATAATCCTCACTTTCAGCAAGCAAAGTGGTGTTGTCTGCATTTCGCAGGCTGTTAATGATTCTTCCTCAAATGCTGATGCTGCATTCTTCTTCATATAGTCCAGGTTCTCAGATTATTTGCACAGCATACCGATTGAACAAATATGATGAAAGGATACAACTCTGACACACTCCCTTCCTGATTTTAAACTATGCAGTATCCCCTTGTTCTGTTCAAATAACAGCCTACTGATGTATGTACAGGTTCCTCATGAGCACACTTAATTGTTCTGGAATTCCCATTTTTCTCAATGTTATCCATAATTTGCTATGATCCACACAGTCGAATACTTTTGTATAATCAATGAAACACAAGTAAACATCTTACTGTTATTCTTTGCTTTCATCCAAGATCCATCTGATATCAGCAATGATAGCCCTCATCCCACAGCCTCTTCTGAATCCAGCTTGCATTTCTGGAAGTTCTCTGTCAATATGCTTGTGCAACCATTTTTGAATTATCTTCAGCAAGATTATACTTGCATGTGAAATTAATGATATTGTTCGATAATTTCCACATTCTGTTGGATCCCCTTTCTTTGGAATGGGTACAAATACAGATCTCTTACAATCAGTTGGCCAGGTAGCTGTTTTCCAAATTTCTTGGCATATATGACTAAGTGCCTCCAGTGGGGCATCTGTTTATTGAAACATCTCAATGGGTATTCCCTCAATTCCTGGAGTACAGCTTCAATTTCTTCCTTCAATACCATTGATTCTTGATCATGTACCATCTCCTGAAATAGATAAACATTGACCAATTCTTTTTGGTACAGTAACTCTGTGTATTCCTTCCATCTTCTTTTGATGTTTCCTGTATCAGTCAATATTTTGCCCATAGTCTCTTACAGTATGCAACTCAAGGCTTGAATTTTTTCTTCAGTTTTTTTCAGGTTTAGAAATGCCAAACATGTTCATCCCTTTTGGTTTTCTAACTCCAGGTCTTTGCACATTTCATTATGATAACTGACTTTGTGTTCTCAAGCTGCTCTTTGAAATCTTCTGTTCAGCTCTTTTATCTTGTCATTTTCTCTGATTTGCTTTAGCTGCTCTCCATTCAAAAGCAATTTTCACAGTCTCTTCTGACATCCATTTTGGCCTTTTCTTCCTTTCCTATCTTTTTAGTTACCTTTTGCTTTCTTCA